AATAAAAAGGAGATATGAGTTATTTATAAGCAGAACCTAACGCGTCAATCAATCCTATTATAATGGATGGAACGAAAGATGAGTGAGTGTTTAATTGAGCGACTGAGGGAAGGAATGAATGAGTGGGTGATTGAAAAAAAAATGAGTAAACGAACGAGCGAGAGAATAAACGAGTGAACAAAATGATGAACAAGTGGCTGAACAATGATGAAATGATTGAATAAAACGAGTGGGTGAATTATAAAATGACGATGATTAAGTGGATGAATGAATGTATAACGATATAAGAAAATGAACGAATGAATGAAAGAATGAGTGAATAAATAAATGGAGAGTGGAAGAAGAAACTGAAGAAACAAAACTCTGAAGAACATAGCACTGGACAGATAACGGTATAATAATTTAAAAATAATAAATTGCATTCGGTTATATGAGAATCCAAATAAATCGATACAAACAAACAAACATACATACATACATACATGCGTACAGACATACATACATGCATACATACAGACAACAAACAAACATACATACAAACAAACATACATGCGTACTTACATATATACATACAAACATACATGCGTACAGACATACATACATACATATATACATACATACATATATACAAACAAACAAACAAACATACACACTTACAAACACGTATCAATTCATTCGAAAGGTACCTAAGTAAAATGAACAAGCAAAAGAAAAACGAAAAATATAACGATAGGCAGATGTACCGAAAAAATGTATACACACACACGCAAGCACGCACGCACACTTACACGTACACAAAAACACATAAATATAAATATTCATATATATGTATTCTTACATATTGAAAGATTCTACGAATGATTCACTTAAATATCTAATTTATTTGTCTGCTCTCTCTCTCTCTCTCTCTGTCTCTCTCTCAGTCTCTCTCTCTCTCTCTCTCCAATATAAAACATATTTAATTAATTAAATAAAAAAATTCGTTCTTCGCATACCGCTATGTGATTGTTTTTAACGAATCGCGTGATTGATCGAAGCCGTGATTTATACCTACGCAACACACACACGCACACACACACACATACAAACACATACATACAAAAACACACACACACACACACGCACGCACGCACATAAATAAATACACAAAAATACAAAAAAAGCAGATGACGTTAAAAAAAAATATATGCAACGTGTCATGCGGATGAGTGAATGAGTAAATGATAAAAAACTAAATATGAAATACAATTTAATATGTATAGTACACTATATATATATGTGTGTGTGTGTGTGTATGTATGTGTAATACAAAAATATATTCTATATATATGTATATACATATATATATAACTATATATATATATATATATATATATATATATATCCATATATACATATATATAATATTTAGATTTATATTTCAAGCTTGAATGATCATAAATGAATTTGTGTAGTTGTGAATTATTATTAATATTGTTATTCTTATTCTCATTGTTATTCATGTTGTTATTATTGTTACTCTGTTGGTGTTATTGATGCTGGTGATACTGTTATAGTTAATGTTATCGTTATTATTAATATTATTGTTATTATTAATATTATTATTATTATTATTATAAACGCTTAATGTTAGTTTCAATCCCAGCATTTGTTGTTATGGTAGGCCTCGTTATTAATGTTATTGTTCCTTTGTTTCGTTGTTACTGCTGCTTGCTATTGACGGTGATGACGACGATGTTACTGTTGAATGTTGAAATTCTTCTTCTTCTTATTATTATTATTCTTATTATAATTATTATTTATGCTGTTGCAATTATTACTACTATTAGTGTTGTTGTTGATTATATTAATGTTATTATAATTATTGTTGTTATTGTTGTTGTTGATTTTTGCGATATCCGTTTATATGAGATTTCGCATCCTTATCAACACCTTTGCTATTATTATTATTTTTATGATGATGATTATTATGATGATTATTATTATTATTATTATTATTATTATTATTATTATTATTGATAAACCCATTACTACGTTTGGCATCATTATCAAAGATGTTGTTGTTGATCTTGTTGTTATTGTTATTATTATTATTATTGATGGGTAAATTGTTAATATCATCGTCGTCGTTATCGCCATCATTATCATCATCACCGTTATTATTATTATTACCATTTTGCGTATTGTTGTTGTTGTTGTTGTTTTTGTTTTTCATGACATGAGAATAATTTTTTTTGTTGTAAGTGTCGATGAGGTTGGATATTTTGGAATCATCATTATCACCACCATCATCATCATCATCACCATCATCATCATCATCACTACCACCACCACCACTCTTCAATACACCCTGACGGTTATTACTCTCTCCCCTCAACCTCCACCTCAACTCCCTCTCACCATCCTCATCACTATCTCTCTGAAAAACTCTACCCGAAACTTCATCATCGACTTTAACACCGTTTCTAACATTATTAATTCTATAACCACCAATAACCTTATCGTCCGCGCTACATAAATCATCATCATCATCTTTCCCCTTATTCGAAACCTGAGCCACGCCCCCTGGAGAAGACTGGACTCCCCCTTTCTTCCGTCGTGACGTCACGTAAGGTCTGATGACGTCACTCTGCACCAATCTCCAGAAGAGCATGACGTTAGTGACCCACATGACGAACATTGCGGCCGCCAGTATCCAGAAGTAGAAGATGGACACTCGCTGGCGGGTCGCCAACATGCCGTAAGTGATCCAGGCGTTACAGAGAAATCGACAGCAGACGAAAGTTACCAGGTTCAAAAGCGCGTTCAGCCTGTAGATCCAATGGTCGAATGGACATTTGTGCCTGTATGGAGGTATGGATGTTTGTTTGGTTTTGTGTGTGTATATTTGTACGTTTTTATGTAGGTTGGCTTTCTGTGCGTGTTTGTGCGTGTTTGTATGTTTGTATATGTGTGTGTGTGTATGTTTCTAAATATGCATGTTTATTGCGTGTGTGTGTGTGTCTGTATGTATGTGTGTTTGTGATTTTCTGCATTAGCGCATTATGCTGGAGAAATGAAAAAGTAATAAATAAACAATAAAAATAAAATTGTTGGACATGATAGATAATAACAATGACGACGATGATGAACGAACGAGCGAACGAACGAAGAACGAACGACAAAACAGAACGGACATTTGAAGCAGTTTCCTGGAATGTAGAAAGATGGTGTTAACTTCAGATAACAGCGCAACAACTGTGTACGCGACACATCGACTGGCAACAATGTTGTACGTGAAGGTGCCTGCTACCTAAAAGTGTATGCGTGTACGTGGGTATGTGTACGTGTGTATGTGTATGTTTATTTGAATGTGTGTGTGTGTGTGTGTGTGTGTGTGTGTGTGTGTGTGTGTGTGTGTGGATGAATGCGTGAAATTATGTGTGTGGTGAGCATGTTTGTCTGTGTATGCAACCAACAATAGAATTTAGTATACAAAGACACAAACACACACACAGGGAGAGAGAGAGAGAGCGAGGGAGAGAGAGAGATAATTATGTTACAATTTGTTACATAACAGCCATATCAACAAAAATCAGTTCAAGTAAGATGATGTTAGAACTAACAATACCAACAACACAAGCAAGCACTCTATTACATTATAAGTGACAAATTCATATTAAAAAAATAACAACAATAGTAAAAATAAAAATAACGATTAAAAACCTTATGAGGATATGTTCTAGATATTACATAATCACACAAACACACACATACACCATACACACACACATACACATATATATATATAATTATAATAGAAATAACAAAAGCAAAAACACAATTAAGGTAGTGAAGCGCGCATAGTCTCAGTCACACACAATCAACAGGCATACAAATAATTTTAATGAAGATAATTGAAATGAATGAATGAATGAATGAATGAATGAATGAATGAATGAATGAATGAATGAGAAAACAAAAAAACTGTGGTAAAATGCCTAACAGCAATGTGGTGGGGGATGACCTCCCACATTTTTTTCAGCCTCCCATTCCTGGCAATGTCAATGAAGTCATACAGGAAATATCCTTGAAAAAGAAGAAGAAGAAGTTAAAATGATTAGCCAATCAACATTAACAAAACTACATTATCCATGCATCTTTAATACCTAGCAACACAAAACAATATAATGATTAATTTTCAAAAAAAAATTTTTAGAGGGCAGATTAGATGAGTGATAATGAAGGAGAAAAAACAGCACATAAGCCAACTAACCAGTAGAAAAGGCCACTAATGCATATATGTACATGTTGTTGTAGGCTATTAGATCGACTCTCATCTCGGGAAATAGATAAAAACTGTTGACAGGAAAGAATAAAATATATAATAATTAATATATCTAAGTTGATATGATGAGAAATTGTATATTGATGTTGATTATCATTCAATATTATCATTATTATTATTAAAATTAAATTATTAAATTAGATTATTAGTAGAAGGAATGAAATTTTTAGTAAAATGTCAATATGACTCATTGAATATAGCTAAACCAGATGAAAAAAAAGCGTAATATATAGATTAGATAGACTATAGAAATCTCACACACCGTTAAAAAAGCAGATAGACACCACCGCACATGACTAAAAATAAATAAAATCCATCCCCCAAATTCCCTAACAAACAGGAAACCAAAACACACCTCCACAAATCCAAGGTTCCCACGATCAGGGCATGCAGCCAGGATATGAATAAATTCCTCCATCTCCACGTATCGTCTGCCCCAGATCCGGGGGCCGTTAACAACTTGACGTAATAATTAATAAGTAAGAAGAAAAATATTGACGACGTGATGATTGAGAATCCGTAAATTAGTGGAGTTGGCGGAAGATGGTCGTAATTATCAATAGCTGGAAAAGTTTCAACTGGCATGATTTTTTTAACTTTATTTTATTTTTTTTAAATTAGTTTTAATTTTAATAATTACGTTTTAATTATTAGAAATGGTTTCGTTAAGTGAAAATTGAACTAAAAAATGAAAAATAAAAATAGACCTATGGGGAATTTTATCGCACCACGATTGAAGACCATAGGTCTAATTTGAAAAAAAAAATTTAGTTTGAAGACTTGAAAATATGGAAAGTTAAAATGATTTTTTAACAAACTTTAATATGAATTATTCAATTATAGCATATCTTTATGTTATAAACATTTTATTTTAAATTATGAATTAAAATTACAAATTTATTTTTATGAAATGTTTTATAAAATTTGATGACTTAAATAACTATTAATGCTAAAACATTGAAATTTTTTACAAATTTATTAAATTCATCAAAAAATAAAAACTATTAAAAATAATAATTAAATTCACTATTTTACCAAACGTGTTTTACCAAATTTAAAATTAGAAGTTAGAAAGACCACAGAGTAAAAATGACAAGGTGAGCACAGGTAAACAAAGTTAATCAACTAATTAGTTATAAAGGTAGATGTTACGATATACACGTGTATATTTATATATATGTATATAATGTATATGTATATATATATGTATATATAAATATATACATGAAATAAGTGTTGTTTGTGTTATGTTATTTATCATTTAATATTTAATATTTTATCTATCATTTAATATTTTAGTATTTCAAATTGATAATTAAATGATTAATTAGCGTGGTCAATTATTTAGAAAAAAATTAATCTCATTTTATCTGGCACTTTTTAAAAATAAAATGATGAATCTTTATTTTATAATTATTGATTGTAACTACTTTTCAGGATGCTATTCATATTGTATCAGTCGTTTACATCAAATTCAACCATTATTTGATTTTTAAATAACAGTTAACTGAATTAACGAATTTATTAGAAGAAAATAGTCAAAGAATTAAATAAACAAATAAATATATAAATATAAACAAATAATTAAATAAGATCAATAGATAATTCGTACATTGAATATTAAGTTACTAATTTTCTTCAATACTACTTTACTGATATCACTTTTCACTAAACTAAATAAAACAAAATGGCTTCCCCTGATAAAAAGGTTCCTTAAAAATTATTTTACATTCTATTCATTCAATAACTGACAATTACATATTTTCTTTTTCCAGCAACACCAAAGTTGCTGACATTTTCAGTGCTTTTTGTTTTGTTTGATTGAATAAAAATGATTTGATTTTGATTATATATATATATATATATATATATATATATATATATATATATATATATATATTGATATATACACACACAAACAAACACACAACCCACAACCAAATACACATAAATACGTCTGCAGCTGCCCTTGAAGTTTATATTCAGTGAGCACAACAGCAGACTACAGCAGAGGTTGAGATGTGAAACACAAATCATTGATGACCTAAAGTTAGGAGGGAATGGGCAAAAGCTGACATATTATTAATTTATTCATTATTACATTAGCTCTATGGTGGGATAGTCTAATTGGTAAATGGGTCTGTGGTTTTGTGTTGCAGTGACCGCATTCGAAAGTGAAGTAGATCACCAACTTTCTCATCATACGCCGCGCGTGTGGGTGCGCGTGTGTGTGTGTGCGTGTGTGGGTGTGTGTGATGCTTTGATTTAATTTGGAAAAAAATGAATTAAAGATTGATTGATTGATTGAATAAATGTGTAATTAATTTAAAATTTCAATTATCATATTAAATCTCAAAATGTTCAAATTTTCGAAAAGGTCTTTCATGAAACAGAAGTCAGCAATCGAGAAAGAATATGGCCAGGTCAGCCAACTTAGGAAACATCTACTTGAATAAACTTGATTTTTAACCTCAACTCTGATGATAATATTTGTTTGATGGGGCTGGCATCTCCTTCTGGCCCACAATAATGTCATGACGTAGTGACGACTGACGAGATAATTTACTGGTTCAAATAGCCCGTCTTCGTATCATCATCATGATTAATTATATTATAATTATTATCTATTTATTTATTTGTTTATTTATTTATTTATTTATTTATGTAATTAATATTGAACGCACACACCCACGCAGGCGATGATGAAGCTAACGCAGTTGTACGCAAGCAAGCTGCCTCAGTGCCTGCTCTCCAAGGGCTCCTACAAGGTCAATGGCTTCGAAAACAGGTAGGCCATTACGGCCTTACTTACCAGATATACATACATACACACAAACATACACACATACATACATGCATACATACACACATACATTCATACACACACACACACACACACAAGCAAATTATCTCAACCGATCCAGTATTTTACTAACGACGGCTTGGAGGAATTACCTAAACGAGCTCGAGGAAGCGAACAAAATCCGGATTCATAACACGGATGCCTACATGCACAGGATGTCAGAGATGGTGAAACTTGTCAAGTTGCATAGATCTCAGTCCTCAAAACTGGTTGGCAGGAGTTTATATTTATTTTGTTTTTTGTTGTTAATTCATTTAATCGTTCGTCTATTCCAGGGTTGGGCAAACTTTTTGCTGTGAGGGCCGCACTGAGAACTATTTTATGTTTGAAGGGACGCATGTGTACTTGAATAGCAAATTTTTTTGACCCGGAGTTGTGGCTCCTTTAGGTCTTCGAGTATTTAATGGGCAGACCGGCGATCATTCATTCATTAATTCATTACTTCAAAATTCATCCATTCCTCCATCCATCCATTTATTTATCCATTCATCTATTTATCTAACTATTTATTCGTTCATTCATTCAAGTATTCAATCATTCATTCATTTTTTTCTTCACTGAGTTTATTCAAGTCTAGAATTAGCGTGACCAGAAAGAGAGGAAGCATTTAAATGGAACAAATAACTCGTTTGAAATCGCGTTAACATACAAATGAATAAAATAAATACAAATAGATTGTGTTCATTCGTTCGTTCGTTCGTTCGTTCGTTCGTTCATTCATTCATTCATTTATTCATTCATTCATTCACACTTCATTTATTTTTATCACATATTATTATTTAACACATGTAAGTAGAATGAAAATTATATCAGAGTTTATTTGTTCGTCGTTATCTCCACTTATTCATTTATTAATTAATCCATCCATCCATCTATCCGTCAAGCCATCTCTTCATTCATTTTTTCATTCATCCAGGTTTTTGAGAATCTATCGGATAGACAGAAGGAGGCATACCATTCAATAGCAGACTCTATGAAAACGTACAAGCAATATAAAGAGAAGCAGCAAAAGACTAATGAATGCCGGATGAAGATGAAGACTCTAAATATGAGGTAGGTAACAATAATAGTAATAATAATAATACTTATTATTATTATTTTATTATTATTATCTTATTATTATTATTATAATTATTAATATCAGAGTGAAATCAAACGCGTCAAAACATCAACAGCAGCATAGCCAGGTTGATCTTTCTTTCAAATTTTTTTTTACCACCTCGTCATCATCAGCGTCAACATTAACATTTTTTTGTCATCAGCCTTAAGGTCATCATTATTACCATCATCTTCGTCATCATCTTTGTCATCGTCATTATCGTCATCGTCTTCTTCTTCATCATCGTCATTATCGTCCTCGTCTTCTTCTTCATCATCGTCGTTGTCATCATCGTCGTCGTCGTCGTCGTCATCAGCTCTCAAACGAACTGAGGACATGTGAATCGGTATCAGATAAGAGTAGGAATGATTACATCATGAGTCTAGCGGCGGCTAATCAGCACGTAAATCATTACTTCACTAGCGATCTACCAGAATTTTTACAGGTTTGTTGGCTGGCTGGTTGGTTGGTTGGTTGGCTGGCTGGCTGTTTGGTTGGCTGGTTGGTTGGCTGGTTAGTTGGCTGGTTGGATGGTTGATTGGTTGGTTGGTTGGTTGGTTGGTTGGTTAATTAATTAGATTAATTGCAAGTTAAAGGGTTGGTTGACTGATTAGTCGATCTCATATTAACCCATTTTTTCAATCACTAGCATATACATACATACATTCATTCATTCATTTATTCAATTATTCATTCTTTCATTCATTCATTCATACATTCATTCATTCATTCATCCATTCATTCTTAATCCTCCTCCTCATTATCATGATGATCAAGTTGTTGGATGGAGACTTCTACGAAGATTGGAAGAATTTCCTCACTTGGTCATCTGAGTCCGACATCCAAACGTACAAACATTCCATCAAATCGTCAAATGACGTCATCGCCGCTGTCCGGAAGGTGATGACAATGACGATTGTGGTGATGATGATGATGAAGACGATTGTAGTGATGATGACGAGGATGGTGATGATGATGATGACGAGGATGGTGATGATGATGATGACGAGGATGGTAAAGATGATGATGAGGATGGTGATGATGATGATGGTGTTTGTGGCGATCATGGTAATGATCTCGATAGTTGTGGTGGAGATAT